TGTCAAGTTCTCCTTCTCTCTGCAGTGTTGTTGTTCTGCATAGTTTTTTCCCTTAGTTGACTCTTACAACACCCACGGGATGAATAGAGGTGGTGACAATCTGTATTCTTAATCCGTCACCACACGGACGGGGTAACAGTTCACATGGCAGATTTATTCCGGCAGATGTCGCGGTTGCTAGTATGTACGACCTTTAAAAAACTATTTTCTCGCAATCGCCGGTATGTAACTCATACAAAAAACAGACAAAAACCATCCTTCTTTTCCAGAGTTCTTAAGGTCACAAACCAACATATATACATATAGGCAAGGAGCAAACAAACAGACCGATAAGTAGACTGCACAGAATAGTTTTTTTGGTGGACTTCTTCGTTTGGACACATGCAACTTAAGAGATACAAGTGTACTGCAGGCCTACCACCCTTTAAGTGCTCTCTCCCCCTATAATTATTATATTGGGGCGATAGCGCTAAGCTCCAGTAATATGGGTATGACGTGACTTGAATTAACTGAAGAGTTAATAAATATGATACCCACTTTAGACGAGATACAAACATGAAAAATTACCTAAGGTTTTGTTGTTATCTAGATAAAGATACAATGGGAACCCAAGAGCGTACTGACTTTTCTTTACTTACTGCTTATAAACGTGTATTGTTATTACACACTTAAAAGTAGTCTTTTATGGTGACAAACTATAATATTTGTTATATCTTACAACACCCTGATACGTTGACGCATTTAGTTGAAGTCATGTCAAGGTAAGCTTACGTGATTATCTACTAAATAAAAAAACTATTGTGCTTTTGACTTTTTGAAACTCTCGACATGATGGTTAACTGTCAAATTAATAACGCAAAGATCTTTTTTACCGTATTTAGTAACAATGGTGATATGTAATTAAAGTTGAACTACTCAAAGTAAGTAGTAAGTAAGGACTTCCATTTTTCCACGCAAATTCAACAGAGCTATTGTCTTTTCTTCAGGTATTTCTATAACAATCTTCGTGTTGTTTTACCGACATCAAGACATTATCTAAGAAACTAAACACAACGGATCTCTGTTAGCGGCACAGGAGTTCCTACTTTTACTTTTATCTTATATCGCAGACCAATTTTTGATGATAATAAAAATGTTCTCAATAAATTTATACAAAACAGATCTTTTTAAGTGCGTCAGATTTTAGCATCACTTTTAAATATTCTAATGTTTGCTACATTTTAACTATGTATTTATTTTTATTTTATGTAAGAAGTTGCAGACGAGCAGAAGGGTCACCTGATGAAAAGTGACTACCGCCGCCTATGAACGCCTGCAGGATTCACAAACACGTTGCTGGCCTTTAAGGAAGGTATTCGCTCTTTTCTTAAAATCAATTTTTTTTTTTCATGCATTTTGTATGAAATCAACACACACACACACACACACACACAATCTCTGTTTTGTCAAATAGATAGCAAAATAAATTTAATAAAAAATATAGTTATACAAAAACTATGATATGCCTGTGCCGTATTACAACTGTCCATTTTGAAGGTGTTGAGCCATATGAGAAGAAAAGGCAAACAAACTTCTGGCCATTCTTTTACAATTTATAGATAGATACAATGGCATTAATTATTATACCACAACATTGTTTTGATGTGTGCCAGTATTATCGTTATTAAGGACTAAAAGGTAAAAGGCAATAAAGAGAAAAATAAGATTAGGAGAAAAGATCAAATAAAAGAGAAGGATAAAATATATAAAAAAAACACCCTAGCCCACATCACATTTCCACTTCAGAAATAGCCTGCGCTTAATAATCTAAAGCATTTTTGTCTTCTATGTAATCCACAATGGAGTAATAGGCTTTCTGACATAATTTACGTTTTATTGCGGATTTACATTGTTAATACTTAAGTCTTGAATATTATTTGGGATTTGATTATAAAATCAGACATATTGACCTAAAACGACGTGTTTTTCTTTTAAAGCCAGCCTTTTAGAGGCAGGTACTAAAAGTTTATTTCTATTTCTGGCATTTATAAAATAAACATCACTGTTTTTAAAAGCTATCCTTTGTTTTTATGAACATATATTACATTTTCATACATATATTGACATCCCACTGTCATTTTATTTATTTCTTTTAATTTCTGCCTCAATAAAAAACGATTGCCTAAATTATAAAGTGCTCGAATCGCTGTGCAAAAATAGTTTGTCGGCAGCATTCCCTTACACTAGAATACCGTATGACATTAGGCTATGAAAATAACTAAAGTAAACAAGTCGTGCTGTCAGTCAACTCTCGAATCCTTCTTACTGAGTCTACTCGATAATTTATGAATATGTGGGCCCCACTGTAGCTTAGAATCTAGTGTTATACCTAAAAATGTCATAGTATCCACAATGTCCAACTTGACATCCTTAATCATCACGGAAGTTTTCACTGGCTTGACGTTTGGCATAGTGAAACGTATACACTTAGTTTTTGGTTCATTTAAAAGCAAATTATTGACGTCAAACCAATGAACCACTTTCGAACTGGCGCTGTTTATGTCTGTGAAATTAGTAAGTGTACCTATCATCTGCAAATAACATAATCTCGCGATTGTCCTTGACCAGGTGAGGTAGGTCGTTAATATATACTAAAATAGAAAAATTGTGAAACGCCCATTTCTACCACAGAGCCTGGACTGCTCACCATTATTATCAACTTTCTGAATCCTATTAAGTATTTAGATATGAAGCAAGAAGTTCCAATGCTTTATTTTTGATACCTTAGTCCTATAATTTTCTGTTCAGCGTTTAAAACGCAAAAGATACCTAGAGAATCGTGGGCATCTTCCCAGACATCAAATATATGATATACTAGCTCAACAATGAAGGAGGTTTGAAGGTCGTACCGATCCGAAAACACCACAGACGATAACTTGTTCCACTGATTACTTGTGCAAGGCAAAAAGTATCTTGAAAAGCGTACAGTGGTCATAGGGATGAAAATGTGGAACGATGGCGGAAAGTTGTAGCCGGTACTAGTCCAAACAATTCCTCGGACTACACTCCATGATATATACGACAGAGAATGCACAGTGAAGCCAAGGGATCGAGTCTATCGGAGATCTTTGGGCTATCGACGATTCGAGTCGCTCTTCGTTGGATGCGGTCCAGATTGAGAAGCTGGTACTGAGGTACCCCTGCATAGAGATCACAACTCACTCTTAATTAATGCTGTTAAATCTGTAGTGAAAATGTTGAACAGGATAGGTGAGACAACAGAGAGTGGTTTGTTTTGTTAAGGTGTTTTTTTTTTGTAATTATAAAACATCAACCATAGTTTACAATTTTTAATAGCTACTCTAATTTGTTCTAGATAGATACAAAGCATATAGATCATAACAACAAAAACAAAATTACTGGCTTACAAGAATTTCATCTCAAACTATTAACCTTACACACATACTTAATATAGAGAATAATATCTTTAATTGCAATGTCAGATCCCCTCCTACTTGATTCTAGACTTAAATCATTGACTTGCTATCATTAGTAATATCTTACGTCTAAGCACTTCCTTTTTCCTCATACTGTGAATGCCAAACAATTAGGCAGTTTTCACTGTTACTTAACTTTTTATTCATCATTATCACTGTGAGACATGAGAGATCACTAAGAATGGCTAGTGTGCGTTGTAACAAAACTTTCACAATAGCGTGAACCAAACCGTTTCCTTGAATTTATATCGACTTAACATTAATAACTTTGATGGTTTATCTTCTAGCTGGATTTCAAAATCACTTTCATCGATACAACAGATTGTCGAGGAGTAGTGTGCCTTTGGGTCTGATAAACACCGTCATCATGTTTCAGCCTAAAGCCTATATCTCCTACGTTACTGTAGCAATTTTAAGTTACAAATACCTACATAGAAAAGACAGGTGTCGCACTAATAATAATCGTTATTGCTTATGTGCGCCTTAAAAGAATAAAGTGTTATTTTATTGTTTGTAGTCAATGTACAAAACACATTAATCCGCTATTAATTCCATTTGATGGTAGCATGAGTTCATGAGGAACTCAAAACTTTGTAGTACAACTACAATGTCGTGAATCATATGGCTACAAAATAAAATTATACGTAGCAGACACTGCTCCTCTGACATTAGAAGACATTGAGTGTCGTTGGCAGCTTCAGCCTTTGAGAGCTTCACTTGTATTGTAACTGACTTAATAACTATGTACCTAACCAACCTTGCAAGTCAATTTTAACTAATTCTTAATTGTGCTAATTAATGATTTTGTTAATTATTTAAATTCAGATGAAAATACTATAATTTTCTCGTCTTACAGCTGTTCTTTCTTTACCAGTACACTATCTCATGTGTTGGGCTCATGCGATTTATTTTGACGAATTTAAAAGATAGTCTGATGATGATGATAGATGATGGCAAGAAGTGGACATGGAGGATAGTGGAACAATTTTTTACTTTTTAGTTAAGTTTGCCATTAAAGAGATTGTGCTAGATATACCTGTAAATATTGGCAATCTATACTAAGAAATACAGCATCTTAAAAAAACCTATTACCTACATATTTTCTTACATTAATAGGTAGGTAATCTTTAGGGGAAAAAAAAGGAGAACCTATGATATATATATATATATATATTATACCACACCACTTATAAACTCATAGCTAGCACCAATGGGTTTCAAATCCAAAAGATAAGGTGGAAGACTAAGGCGGTAAACATATTTACGAGTTGCGACTCTAGTGCAGTTAAACAAAACAGGAGCAAATTAATAGGTTACTTGACACACTGTGAGCATGAAATCGTCCTACCATGTTTGCGTAATAATCAGTAATGGGGTCAATGACTTGGATAAGTCCTTGACGTTGGCTTTGTACTAAGGAATGAAGTCCAGACATGACATTCTTGAAGAACTGGATATAAAGTGTGGGTAGCTGTCCCAACTCTCAGTCTATTTAAAATCTCTTTGATAAAGAACGTGTCCAATATGGTAAGTAATCAAACTTGTTTGACATAATTTAATTCTAATTATGTAATGAATCCGGCTTTCGTGTGCAGAAAATTAAATTCACACATGTGAGTTCATAGAACTCTAGCACAAACTTCTGAATAAGCAAAATTTGCATTGTTCGCAATCCGTGTCTGGTTCGTTATGGGTTTATGACTGCTATTTCATAATTTCACTTGTAACTATCACTACATAAGGAATGTTTAGACCAATAATCTTTCAAATATATTTCTATTTTAAAGTATACAAATCATTCTTACCATTAATTGCATTCTTTAGTACTATTCTTTTTTACTCTAGGGTAAATAAATTATCTGTTGAGTAAATCAGATCTTGCCTTTTATCATATTATTTATCATTCTTCATTCTCATCTATTGTATACTAGGTAATGCTATTCGAAGTGGTAGTATTCACTATCCTCCATCCATTAATAAATCTAGCAACCTCCGAAGGTTGCGTTTTCGTTCATCATCATCATAAGCCCATCGCAGTCTACTGCTGGACATAGGCCTCACCCATTGCACGCTACTTAGATCTATTTTGGGCTTTTCGCATCCAGCTTCCGCCAGCCATTTTGAGCAAATCGTCATTCTGCCTGGTATTTAATATTTTTTATTCTTAAGATTGTATTGAACTGATAAAGGTGACTTTACGTGATAAGAGATATCATTGTCAAGACAAATTTTAAATGAACTAAATCGATCCTATTATTTGTTCCTGATTCACTTTCCTTGTTTTTAATGAAAAAAAAAAAGTATTGAGCAACATTCGGATGGTTTGACCAGATATCTGAAACTAATTTTTTTTTAAAAGCACTTGGAAAAAAAATGTTTTAATATGAAGCTCTCATTTAAAGCAAAGAAGTGAAAGAGGAGGAATCATGGTGGTCCTTTAACAATTCCTTTTTTTAATTTTCTCTTATTCACATATGTATGTGTAAACCTGCGTAGGTGTTATTCAACCTTTTACATGGGATGAAGTATTTTTATTAACAAATCTCTAAATCAATGTAATTGTAACATTTAGTTTTAATTACATAAGTTTTATAAAATTTATTTCATCTAAAATAATTGAATACTTTTCCCATGTCGATAATGATATGGTACGAGTGATATGAATAATTAATTTCTTGTGCCACCAACTCGTAATATAAAAAGTAACACAAAAAAGAACCGGTCCACATCTATTCATAATTTGCCTCATGTATCATTGAATAAAAATATCACAAATAACTACGTCTTTAAACAAAATATATTACTTAAATTAGGTATCATATAGAAGTTATATGATACCTTATTTTTAATATAAAGTTATAGTGATAAAGTGTAAAAGTCAGAAATCATTGGTGTTTTGCTAAATTAATATTAAACAAAATACGTGAAGATAAAGCACATCACACATTGTACTTGTACATAGTATTGTGCACTTCTGTAGTGCACTGAGCACTTTGTTAAGATTTGTGAGTAGTAATGGCATCATATTGACAAAGGCATTTTGTCTTTGGTCATATGCAATACCGTATTCCCTAAAGTCAAGTAAATGAGTCATAAGATGTATTTAGCATCTCATGACTCCTACATATACCACATGAGTCATGGGACGCATTTGATACGTTTACTACTTGCATGAACGTCTTGCATGCATTTACTTAAAATGCATGCATGCACGTACATGTATTCAATGTTTAACTAGCAGGAGGCAAGAGAACAAACAGAGCCGTTGTGTCTAATGTCTAATCACACCGATAAGTACTTGAAATAATACTAGGCTTTTAATATATTTGTACTGTAATGTTAATCTACATAGTACAGAAACGTTTAATTGAAACAATATTACTATCGGTAAGCTATAAATACAGATTGATTTTACAAAAAGTACTATTTATCTAAATCATGCGATTTTGTTATTTATTTTGTAAATGTAAATCTTTACTGTATATTATAATGTAAATTTTATTGATCTACCTTAAGATTGTATTGAATGGGTGATTCTACGTGATAAGACAATTTATTGTTAAGACTAGTTATAAATGAACGAAATAGATTTCAAGTATTAATATTTGCAAGAGTACAATGAAGAATAATCTGTTCCACGTTACTACAGGTTTATAAATTGAACTGTTAGTTTCTAAACATAGAAAAGTTTACATTTCATAGTAATCATTATTTTGCATCATCAATAATGGAACTCCTAATATTGGCTACAGCTTATATTGCACGATGCTTGTTAGAAATAATATGAAGTACCAGTTTGTAGATGAACATACATATATAAATAGGATCGGCGTGGTGGCGGATTAAGAATACGGAGTGTCACCACCCCTATTAATCCCTTGGGTGTCGTAAGAGCTGACTTAGGGAGCAAACTACGCAGGACAACAACACTGCAAAGAGAAGGACTACACGTATGGAGTAATGGTTTAAGCGGTCACCTCGCCGCTTCCTACTACGCTGAATGTTGTGGGTTCGATTTCCACATGGGACAAAACTTTGTGTGATCCACAAATTGTTGTTCTGAGTCTGGGTGTCCTTTGTGTCCGTTAATGTATGGTTGTAAAGTCCCCCCCGGGATATAGGAATTATTCCTAATGCAGGAATGGTCTACACAAAAAAAACTTGACACAATCCCTATACCAACCCTTCTGGCCAGCGTGGTATAGTAGGCCAAAACCTCCTTTCTGAGGAGATGCTTATGTCCAGCAGTGGACTATTATAGACTGTTGATGATGTAAATAGTAGTTATTCAAATCGTTCCTAGTAGTTAGCAATAAAAATTGTCATGGATTTTAACAAAATTGAGGAAGTTAGTGGTGTGTATAAATGTAAAATTCGTGTTAATAATCTCACAAAAAATATGGAAATTTTTGGAATTTGATGACACGGTCTTTAAAAAATCCCACTGTGATATTTTTGTTTTTATATTAATTCTGTCATCCTTTTAGCAGAATTGAGATTGTGCAATTTTATTTGAACATAGGAATGTTTATTGGCTGTTAAATTAATAATTATTTTTTTTTTTTTTTTGTTCATCTTTAATACAGCAATCTGTCTCTTTATCAGGACATTAAGCGATAGATTGGGCATAAATTGGAAGTCGTGTGCAGGGATGCGGTCAATGCCGTACCCTGTTCTAGTTATAATGTGCTCTTATCACAGCACATCCTGGGGGATTCTGAGCTTTAGCCTACGGATTTTCAAACTGTTGTCCATAAGCGGTTGGGCCAATATATTTGGGTGGTTTGATATTCTGTCCCTGTATGCCTTAGTGTGTCTAGTTATTTCCTCCCTGATTGTAGGCATCTTCAGATCGTTGTGCAGTTGTTCGTTAGTCACAAACCATGGGGCACCAGTAACTATGCGCAGCATTTTGTTTTGAAAACGTTGTAAGATCTCTATGTTGGAGTGTGAGGCTGTACCCCATAGTTGTATGCCATACGTCCACACAGGTTTGAGGATGGCTTTATATACTAGAAGTTTGTTTTCCCTTGATAACTGGGATTTACAACCAATGAGCCAGTAAAGTTTTCTCAGCTGTAGACCAAGCTGTTTTCTCTTGGTAAGAATGTGTTTCTTCCAGGTAAGACGTTTATCGAGGTACAGTCCAAGATACCGCACGTGATCTGCCCGAGGGACTTCTACGTCATTCAACGTCATTGGTGGACAGTGCTCTCTTCGCAGGGTGAAAGTAACGTTGACCGACTTGCTGTCATTAGCTTTGATCCGCCACCTTTTTAGCCAGTCGGCTATGTTATTCAAACCTTCTTGTAGTAGTTTAGCTGCGATTTCTGGCTGACTATGGGTGGCCAAAATGGCTGTGTCGTCAGCAAAAGTACCTGTTGTAATTTTTTCACTGGTGGGTAAATCCGAGGTGTAGAGCAGGTAGAGGATCGGACCAATTACACTTCCCTGTGGAACCCCCGCTAGGATGGGGCAAAGGCTTGTCATCTCGTTTCCACACTGAACCATAAAGTGACGATTAGTTATGAAAGCTTTGATCATACAAAACAGGTGATGGGGCATGGATTTTTTAATTTTGTAAAGCAAACCCTGGTGCCAGACCCGATCGAAGGCCTGCGAGATGTCCAAAAAGACGGCTGTACAGTATTTTTTGGCTTCATACGCTTTATGTATTTCGACTGTAAGTCTGTGAATTTGTTCGATAGTAGCATGCTTATGACGAAATCCAAACTGATGGTCTGGAACCAGATGTTTTGTTTTAATTATTGGTAACATGCGAGTTAATAGGAGCGACTCGTAAACTTTCGAAGGAATCGGTAGTAGACTGATAGGTCTGTAGGATTTAGGATCTTCCAGAGCCTTGTCGGGCTTAGGGATCATTATTATTTTGGCTACTTTCCACTGTGGAGGGAAAAATCTGAGTCTTGTCATGCTGTTATAAATGGACGTGAGCATAGTCATTCCAGAGTCTGGCAGTTCGGCCAGCAGCCTACTAGTGATGAGGTCGAAACCGGGGGCCTTCTTTGAGTCAATCTTTTTTATAGCCCGTACCACTTCATTTTTATTGAAATTGGCCATGTCGTCAACTATTTCTGCGCTTGAGTCTTCCTCCGCCAAGTAGTTAGATACCTCTCTTTCATGTTCGGGTGTACCTTCATTTGGATGGGGTTTGAAAACGGATTGTAGGTGGACAGAGAAAGTGTTTGCTTTTTCGGCATCAGTACGAGCCCATCTCCCGTCCTGTGTACGCAAGGCTGGGGAGACATTAATAGGTCTTCTAATTTTCTTAGTAGCTTTCCACAGCGAGTAGTCTGATGATGCGGAAGCATCCAGACCGCTCAGATGCAATTGAAAGGCCAAATTACGATCTCGAGTGGTTGCATTCTTGAGTTTCCTGATGGCATGATTAAACAGCTTTTTCGCTTGTGGGCATTGTGATAGTTGCCACCGTTTCCTCAGTCTTCTCTTTTGTGCTACCAACTCTAGAAGGTGATGGGCTATGGGCAAATCTTCCCCAGTTTTTC